AGCCATGTAGGATAGCCATGTGGGAGAGCCATGTAGGAGAGCCATGTAGGATAGCCATGTGGGAGAGCCATGTAGGATAGCCATGTGGGAGAGCCATGTAGGATAGCCATGTGGGAGAGCCATGTAGGATAGCCATGTAGGATAGCCATGTAGGATAGCCATGTGGGATAGCCATGTAGGAGAGCCATGTGAGAGAGCCATGTAGGAGAGCCATGTAGGATAGCCATGTGGGGTGTAGATGCTCTGCGCGCATAGCTGCTACCTCGTAGCAGCATTGTCGTGCTGCTGCCATGTAAATTCGCTTCAGTAGCAGATACAGGTGATGTCTATTGCAATACGGTGGTTATTAGGATTCCTTTAGATTGCCAGGCTGAAACCAACCCCGTGCCACTTCATTTCGTTAGTGGAAACCGGTAACGGCTATTGTTATGACGTTTGAGACTGGAATATCCTAGGCATGCCGATGCCTAAGCTAGCTGGAAGATCGATAGGCATGCCTATCGGGCAATGTGGCTGGCCAGATAACTGACCAGGCCATGATACACAAAGGATTTTCGTTCTCTGTTTATAGTCAAGATTATATTACATGAGACATTTCATACAGATAGCTAATTTAAATGCTACACATACTATTGCATTATTAAATGGACCACTTAGGTACTGGAATTTATTTTTTAAACTACACAATAAAATGAATCAATAATCAAAACATAAGTAAGTAACTGACCAATCAGACAAGCGGACAATGCGAGTGTGCAACTCGCTGCTTGGCCAGTCATTCATTAAACGCTACCTGTTTCTACTGTTAAAGTGAGGAGACAGCGGATATAGACAATCCCGCTGATAATCAGCGTAATGCGTTACTGATCGATATGTCCGCTGCAAATCGATCAGCCGATGGGAAAATCGTGGCGGCTTCGCGTGGCACGGAAGCCGGTTTAAGCTTTCCGCGTGACGTATGCGCAGCTACAGTAGATTCGATCGGCGTTTACGACGATGCTACCACTACCCAGTAGTATGGAAATCGTAAACTGTTTGAAGGGGTGGATATATGTTTCTATGAGACCGACTGATCGCGTGATGTCAGTGTACGTCAGTGTGACGTCAGTGACTATACACCACCATAGACCAATCACGCACGCACATCCATGTATGCATATATGGCACATCCATAATATATTGCAGCCGGCTGTTTGGGGTTGTAGGATATGTTTACTAGGCACTTCTAATTTTAACATATATTTTAAATTTAATTAGGGTTAGAGTTAGGGTTAAGGTTAGGGTTAGGGTTAGGGTTAGGGTTAGGGCACTTTTTAGGGGTTTTGCATCATTCTTTAATATATCGTAAAATATATGTTAAAATTAGAAGTGCCTAGTAAACATATCCTACAACCCCAAACAGCCGGCTGCTAATATATTAATCCGTACACTGACGTCACGCGATCAGTCGGTCTCATGGAAACATATGCCCACCGTTTGGGGGCATATGTGATAAAGAATTCGATATATTCGACATGCACGCATTTAGGCGACCGCATGTTATGTGTCAAGATTAGGGTGGGTATATAGGAAGCCGTGGTTTGGCCAGCCGCTATTTCTCGGGGAGTCGGTCATCATTTTATACGGGAATTTTTCGGACAATGATTACGTGAAAACACATTAGCTCGATCAAGTCAATCCAAAGCGTGGTGCAATCTAATACACGATTCAGGTTAATCTAATTTCGTGCTATCTGGCGCCATTCGTAAAGCTATTAAATTCAAGTTACAGCAAACCGTGCAACAAAATCCAATTTACATACAGCGGGCTGATAACTTGATAAAGTGCCGCTGCGTGATCGCGTTTCTCCTGGCTTTACCTGAGTTCCTTTACATTCTTTCAGGAAGTCACGTTCAACAAACTATTCGATCTGACGGCGCCAAATCGCACCAAGTCGAAGCAGGCCTCTGGACAGGCCAATACGGGGTATGATTTTGTAAGATAGTGTGTGTGCGAATGCGTAATAAGTTGTTTCCATTCTTATCACGTTGCACCATTTTAAACGTAAGTACGTAAATTAAAATAACGTCAGCAGGTTCAGGCCGAAATCTGTAAAACCTTCAATCCTTCCCGTGGAGATTATTGACATGTAGTCACCCATAAACAGCGACAGAGTCATAAATGTGCGAGGGGAAACCAGGTAATCATCCAGAACGATCGCGAGAAACTAGTTTACTCTAGACCCTATAGCTACGTTTACTGGACAGGCCTAATCACATTACACTGCATCGCCAGACAAGTCAACAATCACGAAATGCGATGTATAAGGTCTGAATTAGGTGAAGCCAACGGCATAAAATCGCTTACGAACGCACCGTGACGGCAGTGTAATATGCGTAAATAATGAATGATACTCGTACGTATGTTTCGATCTCGCTAATTCGATCAACGTTTTGCGGAACACTTTGAGAATTCAATTAGGCAAGCAGTCGGCTTTTCTTTTTCAATGTAACAAGTAGGATGCATAGCATCCATAGTTGCGTCGGTGTACGGTTGAATAACGAATGAACAACACGTGATGTGAACCGGGGGTGGACTCCTGCTAAGAAAATAGTTAATGAGCCCACAACGCTAAGATAAGGGGGTTAATTGCAAAAGTCTATTCTTCGGGCTCAGAGTGCATGAGACAACATCATATTAGTGCCGGCTTCAAAGGAATTTCTCACCTACTAGTGACTACTCAGCTACATATACACTGAACCAAAAAAGTTCACGAGTCGGTCAACTCTCCCTTCTCGCTATAGTTCGCATGTTAGAGCCTCCGGCTACATATTTACGCTTTAACAACGGTGACTTACCATACATTCCACACGCTGTTGTATGTCTAATATCTCGCGTGCTGGATAATTGCAAATACGGTTTTTAACGTATCAAGAATGAACGGACTGTCATTCATACAGCGAAGCATTACGACGCTTACATATCCCTAAAAACATCAATTTAACTCGATATGTAATTCAGAAAATTTTTGGGAGAACATCCGTGCAGATTCAACAGCGTCCACGAGCCACCATGAAGCCAGGAGAGAGAGAGAAAATGAATTCCTGTTATAATGACTTATCTTTATAATCTTAATTAATATAATAAATGAATAAAAGTAATCATCGTATCTTTAGTTCACGGCGGAGTTTAGTTTTGCATTCATCATATCGAGGAGGAATGTACTCGACTATCAAGGAGGATAAAATTGCCTTTTGCCTCCTCTTCCTCTACCGCGCCTCCTCATCATCGTCACTCTCCTTCTTCATCGTTCTCTCTCTCACTCTATCTAGTTCTCCCTCGTATGCGCTCTTGCGTGCTCTCACATGCTTTCATTGGCCTGTCGCTATACGGTTTCATCTGCTCTTGCCGCCTTGGTACACACAGACGATGAACACAAAGAAACAGAGCGTGCTTAGTTCCGTGTCTTCGGCTCCAGTCAAGAGCTGACTTAAGTGTACATGGGACTTCAGGTTAAATGGAGAGAAAGACGGGAAATGGGGGTAAAGGCTGAAAAACCGATAGAAAATGTAAAAGATAAATGATGATGGCTAATTATAATAGTGTAGAAGGGAAGCTTACTGAAAGGAATATATACGTTGTGAACGTCGTAGTAGATTCATAGCGGATTGCAACGTACTAACGTAAGTAGAGACAAGCAGAGAGAGAGAGAGAGAGGAAGAGACATAAAGAGTGCTCCATAAGAGACGACGTAAGATAAAAAAAATAAATAATCTAGTTGTCGAGCCTGTTGAGGAATAATGAGTTCTTTAAGTTTTATTTTTGTGTCAAAGCGATCTAACGGTATGCAGGGATATCACGATGCATCCAGTCAATTTGGTTTTACAGACATTTCAGACTCCTAGACAATCGATGGTCTAGCACGTGCGATTACTTACACGCGCGCGCACACTACTTCGATTTTGTATTAGTAACATGTAAATTTCATGTTATATACTACTGTAGACTGATTTAACGCACTCGACAGAAGTGGAGATGAATTCTGGAATGCACTGAACGACAAACTATCTATCGCTGTCGCGTTAATATCACGATAATCATGTAAACCAGAATAGTAAGACACATGCGGGTGGGGCCCATATCGCGATACGACTAAATGATTGCCAACCAAACTAAGGCGTAACGCTCGTTCACCGTCATCAGTGCATCGCACATTTTAGATAGGAGAGTTAGGCGCCTTCTCCCTGATCATGAGTTCCCTATCCAAATGTGATATATTTCGTGTTGGTGGCGGTAATTGCAGCGGCCCTGGTAAAGACAACGCGTATCAAATTTAATAGATAAGATAACGCGAGACGAGAACGCCTGAACGAACAAACAATTTCTCTCTGATTAATGTCTACGTATGAATTCGCGAACGACACTGTCCTTTCGAGCAAGTCAGTAAGATGCCGTATATTCTCGGCTGTTACCATCATGGCTATACCTGCTGACGAGTATGGGTAAACTCTTATCCACAGACGGCTCCCTTCGTACTAGCACGGACACGAGATCTAATTTCGAGCCAATTTAGCGAGTTTGCGTTTTTGCATGTGCGTGTTTCATCGACGAATACAAAGGAATCATTATAATATCTGTAGCTAATAGGAGCTATAAGGAAAATGTATGAAGAAAATAATGAAGAGCCATCAATGGCTAACGAAAACAAGTCCGGAAGAAGGGGGAAGGAAGAAAAGAAAGGAGGGCGGAGGAATAAACGAAAGAAGGAATGTGGAAATTGGAAAATGAAGAAAAGAACAAGGAAAGAAAGCAAGCCAGAAAAAATGGCGGAGGGGAAAAAAGGAAAGGAGCAACGAGGGACAGAAGGAGTTTCATCTGGATTTACACAACATGGCGTGCAATGCGTCTACAGTACAGGACTTCGTACTAACCGCTGCGTGATCATGGGCTATTTTCTATAGGCTTTGACCACAAAAACTAACGTAAGCTGTATCAGTATAAGAGTGATATTCGTCTTGTTTGATGTCCGGAATTTCGACAAAAAAATTTGACCCACTTAATCTGGTGAAATAACGACGTCATTGCCTAGTTGGCGCTGTGACACAGTAATAGTCTGGCCTATAATTGGCGGCTAGGTCTCGTCTTCGTAGTTTCGTTTTCTCTTCGCTTTTGCAGCAGGTGGTCTCTAGTTGGAGCTTCAGTGTTATAGTATACCCGTCTCAACTGGTCGTATTAATTTTGCTTTCTGTTGTAGTTTAATGTAACAAGAGCTTTTATTTGTGTGGAAATTTAATCACTCGTCACCTGCCGCGCCAATTAAGCTCTCTGATATCATTCCGGACGCGAAATGATTTATACACTAACATTGATTACACGTACGAAAAAACATCGCAAAGGGATATTTTAATCACAGGGGAAGCTCTCTGATGAAATTGCATGTGTTTTAGGGATGCAGAACATCACAAGGACGTATTCTAATCATAGGAATGGTTCTTTGAAGAAATTGCGCGCTTAGTGTTAGGGACGTAGCAAACTCGTAACGATTTCCCTGCTATCAGCTTGTCTAGACGTAATAAGAATCGCCGTTTCTTCGCGTGACTATATTTTCCTACATAATGCTTGCTGTCGACGCTGTTCACAGTTCGTCGAACACGGATAAGTTCGCCGATCTGAGGGTAGCGAAGAGAATCATTGAGCAGGTTGCCTCTAACGGCGACGTCGTCAACATCGCTGACGCCGACATGGACTTCAGGATCGATCACCAGGTGAATAGTACATTCTGGTCGGAATTTCATAGTCCCTCTGGGAACGGGGTACTTTTTACCTCCCGCTTGCGTGTCCGCATGATATCTAGACTCACTTCACTCGCGATGGCGCTGCTCTCGTTACTCTGAAATGTCTATAAGTGAGTGAAGAGAAATTAGTTTACAGTGTGATTCGCACGCACGGTCTCTGATCTGGTAGAATTTCGTCCATGCAACATGTACTGTAGGCGACGTGGTGTATCGAGTCGATGTTAACACAACTCGACGTACAAGAGCTGCTCTTATATCGAATAATGACTCGCCTGCTATGCGCTTATTTGCCTCGAGCACGGGTTCTGTAATTAATCACGTACAGCAATACATAACTTATCGCCTTGCGTCTAACGTCTTGGTCACGTAGCCACCTCGTCATTTACACGTAGGCTTGCATGTATATGAATTTCAAACAGGCATATATAACGCATATAACGCTAGTCGACACAACAGGACCCCTTGCATACCGAAAACCAATATATATAGTGTCTTTCGACGTCGCATACTTAATTACCTTCCTGCACGGTTCTGGCTTACCAAATTTTAGACTAAACATAATAGCGCTTAGGTAAACTTGCTTTATATTTTATCAAATCATTGTGTTAATTTATTAGCATATATTATAATATTAGATTTGTAGATGGATGGCTTCATATTTTATACAGGCTGTCCCTACGAGTCAAATGTTCTACGCGCGCGCGCGCGCGCGCGCGTGTATTCTATATTTGTTGTGCGTCACCTAAGATGTCTTAAAATGTGACTTATATTGTTATAATTTATGTAATAGAGTTGCCCATTTACCATAAAATTGTTTAATCTTGTTGTTTGTCGTAGCAATATATTTTTCAACTTCCATTTCGTATTTCAGGTATGTCTTAACTGCAGCAATGTTTGGGCTCCTACCGCTTGCTTTGCATCTATAGATGACATATTTGCTGATTAATACTATAAAATTAAAAGTGTACACTCATGTATTTGCTGGAACGATAACGAATCTTGAACATTCTTCGCTACGCATTCGACATTGAGCTGTCATGACTATCTCTCCCCCCGTTGTATTTTCTCCGGAATTTATACGCAGGTCTATAACAGTTCCATCTAACCCCCTGTAATTCACAGCACAACGAATGAGTATAGATAAAGACCTTTTAAAGACGACGCAATGATTGTCTTAACAACATAGTAATACAGCTGTAGGTGACCATCT